AATCACTATACATAACTTTATTTCCCCCAAACATATTTATGTAGCTAAAATTAGTTTTAACTAATGTTAAAAGTTAAAACTAGTTTTATCTAAAGTCAAAACATGTACAGCAGTAAATTAACTAGACAAAACCGGTTTTGTCTAGTTAAAACTAGAATTTACTGCTAGTCAAAAATGAAATGAAGTTAAAACTAGTTTCAACTAGAAAAAACGGGTTTTAACAAAGACATTCAGTATAAACTAGTTTCAACTAGTTAAAACGCGTTCTAACTAAAAACGGGTTTTGACTGTAACATATACATAACGGCAAAGAAAGTAAAAGTAAATAGTTGATTTAGAAGTAAAAGACATTTTCATTAAAAAATACCTCTTTTGCATTGGAAAATTTTGCCTTAAAAAATTCGTAGGTTCGGAAACATCGTAAATCTTTCCTCCTCTCGAACTTTTCGAGGACCTTTTTTGTGTTTTAAATTGCAGATTTGAGTAAATAGAGCTTTTAAAGAGTAAACAATCATTAATTTGAAATTATTATTAATATAATATTTTCAAATTATCTCGAACACAATAAAATTTATAATTTATAATAATAGAAAAATAAATTTCCTGTTTACGTAGATTGTAATTTTCACGTTAAATTACAGACGGGTCTAGAGGACAAGCAACTAATCAAGCCAATGGCATACTTCGGTTTATATAAAACAACTTTTGTCATTGGCTTGTTTGCTTAGGTTAAATAATTTGGCATTAATTATTGGACGTCAGAAGGGGTTACCAATGCACATCAAATAAAACCGATTCTTCGAAAAGAAATTCTTTTGAAGAACTTTTATACTTTTTCGTTTTAACGTATAGTGTAATATCTTTAATTTTATATAACTGTTGTCTTTCTTTTTACGTATATTTGTTAATTTTAGGGGATCGATAGCAATCGTTCTTTTGGACTTTCCTACTCACTTCTAAAAATAAATAAATAAATAATGTAATGTGCATAAATGTTTGTTAATACAAAATCGTTCTTTTAATTCGTTCAATTCGTTTTTTTAATACTGTACATATTAAATTTTTCTTGAATTAATAGAAAATAATGGTGATTTTAATGGAGGAAACAATAAAAAATTTTTATTTTGTCGCCCAGTTAACGGTCTCCTATTGATGTCGTATATTTTCCTTTCTAACTGACGTTCTTAATAATATTTTCGATGTGTTATTTAATTTCTGGCTTGTTACACTAAGGTATTATCAAATATTTTAAACAGTTATATGTTGTATGCTTTATACAGCTGGATAAACGAAACTATTACATCTCAATTCTCTCCTACCAAAAAGCTTTCTTGCCTCCTTCATTTTACTTTAACACTTTTATATATTTGTGGTGTAAATGTAAAATAACCAAATATTGTCTTTGACAAATTTAACGACACACAGCATGAAGACATATAAATTTTATTGATTAGAAAGAATAAAACATGAATACTGACGATTTGTGCTTTAATACGTTCAATAAATTTAACAAATAGGCCTAAATAATTAAAGCACAAAGACTCTTTTACACAAAACATCACAGTTTTAAACATTTTTTAAATTAATTTTCTTAAATTGAAACAACACACAGATCAACTCCATTGTTTTAGAATAAATGCAACAAAGTTGTCAAGAGATTTCAAAGAATAAGCCAAGCACCGGTTACGCTTTTATGGTTATAACAATCGATATAAATCTATAGAAAATCTACCGACAAAATTTTAAAAGCATTCGATCGTTGCCAAAATAAATTGCAGATTGCGTCCAGATTTACATAAACTTTAGAATTTTCCCGTGACGAAATTTTGTTGGAAAGATAAAATATGTTTTATAAACACGATTTCGTCGGTGGTTTTTCAAATGATTTCTTTTTTTTCAATGCACCAAGCAACTTTCTAATAAATTCTTATTTAACGGCGTAACTGATTCAACAAATTTCTTCTAACAGATTTACTTCATAAACAGAAATTTTTCGAATATTCAAGGAGAAAAGATAATAAAGAAGAAGAAAATTGGCATTCTCTGAAGTTTCTCCTGAAAGAATATTAATATTATCAATGTTTTCTTAAAAACATTATTACTTTTAATTAAAATGTAAAGATTTGTTGATATTTTTAATCTATTCAATAACCATTTTTCTGTAAATAATAAACACATTTTGATTACATGCAAATAATTGTTCTGCATCCGATGTACGAACTAACGGCCTATGCTCGGCCAAAATTTACCGTAGAAACACCGATCTGTGTTTTATCAAACTGGAGTACCGCGGCTCCTGGGAACTTAAATTAGTTTCGAAGGATTACCCTAGTGTTCGCAATGTTGGTTTATTTTATAAGTTTTTTTAAAATCACTATTTGTGTTATATCAAAATATAATATAAACATTTTGAATTACTTTAGAAAACTAGTTTACGTGCTTAGTTATAGACACACAGTCACATTCATACTTATTATATGTATTGTGGTATGCAGATGTCATTTGATTTTGATGGAATTGATTGATTGGAATCCAGAGCGCAGCCATAGATGCTGTGTATTTAACTTTTATGTAGCACAATTCACGATATTATAATTTTTTCAAACGTATGTATGATCAGTATTCTAATTAAAAGAAAACCCTCATAACTCAGGTAATCTTCTGCATAGATTATACAGTAGAAAACTCTTACAGCTTAGCAATAACTGTACTATGGTATTAGTTGTAATTTCAATAGGAAATTTTCCATTATTAATACAGTAATGCCTATTTAAGAACAATAACTACTGGAGACTTCTGCTTTGGCAACTTTTGTTATTTACTAAATCAACTAAACTAGACTGTGGGCGTAACAGAATTGTTGTATCGCCACAGCTTCTTTCCAGAGACGAAACTACCGTGTTAGCAAAGAAAATATTACGGTTAATAATCTGTAACTGCGTTCACTACAAAATCTCCATTACTTCGAGATCGTAAATTGCACTTAATTATTCAGAATAAAGCTGTTTTTGCCTCGAGTTACGCGGCATTAATCGAAGTTTTAAAATACAGATAAACATCGGCGTGTCGATTGCATCGAATTCCGAAAGTTACCGCTAATTGCTAGGGCAAATAGATACAGAATATGAAAAGTAAATGGTTAATGAAACAAATATTAACACCCTTTTTTGCGTAATCTAAATGGCATTAGTGTGAGGATGAGCGATAACTGTAGAAAACTGAAGAATTTTTCTAAGTGTAATTCTGCCGTCCATTTTTTACTCTAAAACTGCAACAATATTTTGTAAAAGAATTGACCTTCCAGTGTTTATGACAAGGCGTCGCAGCATTAGACTCTGTTGGAATTGTTCACTAGTAGAATGACGTCGTGTGAATTTAAATTGAGTGGCATTTTATGTGAACCTTTACCTGTTTAAGAAGTGATTGACATAAACGTGCTAAATCGATCAACCTTTATAAACGAGACGTGAAGAATTATAATTCACATAATACTTTACATACCTTATTAAATATGGACCACTCTACTTTCTTCTTTTCAAACATGGACACACCACAGATGGAAACTTGCGAAGAAAATACCAAAAAATGTCCATGCAGTTTGTAGTTTTCTGCAAACAGTATAAAGATTAATTTAAAAAATTTCAAATATAAAATTTTACAATTATTTCGATTAGATAAACAATTTCATATAATTGGATATTTAAACACGTAAACGAGTATAAAATTTGGTGTTGGAAGACAGAAATTGTCATTTGTAAGGAAATTAAGTGACTTTAATGATTTCCATTTAGTATTTAAATTTTTACAATGTGAATATAAAAATTATTTTAAAACTGCATACATTTAAGTATTTAAGAATTTCAGACATGGAGAAAAAAGTCAGAATATAATTAAAAGTATATATTTAGCAAAAGATGAAAATAGTTTTATTCGTCTAAACTAATGAAATGTAGAAAATATTTTCTCACTTTTCTTTCGTATTCTTCGATCGTTTCCGTGTCGGATAAAGATCTATCATCCTCATTTTTGCTATCTTCGCATTCAGTTACATCTTGAAACTCCTGCTTTTGTTTCTGTTTATCATCATACACTGAAACAAAAAAAATTCACTTCGTTATTTTTAAATTTAATTATAATAACAACAGTATATTTTAATTCCTAATTATGCTCTTGGCAATAATACAAAAAAGCCATTTTCTGCTTTGTACGAGTCAAATAAGACTCTCAAGACTTTAGGATTAGCAGAAAAGAAGAAACCACGCCATTATGTCTTTCTTAAGTGTCTGAATAAGAATTACGTGAAACCTCCATCCGTAGTAAATATTCATTCAAAAATGAATTGTATTTTTGAATATTAAATAGGCAATGTCGAAAACCACAAGCTAATTCAGTGAATTGCATCTTTTGTTGTTGTCCGCATTAATGACACGAACATCGACACATTATTGTTTCGAGATAATTAAAATATTACTAAAACAATATTCGAATTATTCTTTCATGTCACGCCGCTACAAATGCTTATTTTACATTTATGTTATACGTGTAGTTACTGTACATCTAATACACAAAATTCGATCAACAATATTCTTAGTGTAGTGAAATTATATAAAATATAAATATTGAAATCATACGAAATAATTTTGTAAAATATAACTTTAAAACTGTAAATAAACTTTAAAAATTAATAATTGTGTATTAAATTTTTTCATGCTGCATTTTACTTGGCTAGTAGTGTATTTTGAATAATTGTAATCTTACCTTTCTCAGATTCTTCACTTTTAGTGGATTGAATGACTTGTAGTGATGTCGTATTCATATTATTAACAAAGTTTTCTTCCTCAACGTCATCTTTCGTGGAAGATATTGATGACACTTCACTTTCAACATTCATTTGTTGAATTTCGTTAATGGAGTCGACGACATCATCAGAATGTTCACTGTTTCTTAATTCGCTATCTGTGTGGATGGAATCATCGTCTTCTGATGAAGCATTTTCGTATTCAAACTCGTCTTCTTCATAAATGATTTCACTTACAAGAGAAAATCTTTCTAAATTTATAAAAGCCCATTTTAACGGTCTGTGAATGTAGATGTCGTCCACTGTTTCCGTGAATTGTTCCGGAGAATAATCAAAATCTTCATTATTATGCTCATCGAAATTCTGTAAAATAACGAAAAATAAATATTTCTAAATTTCGAATTAACTTAAAAAAATGTTAAATCCATATTCAGCAATTTTATTGCAAATTAACGTATTAAAATTTGTATTGTATGATTAATGAAAACGTGGAAACTAGAAAGTGATTCTGATTTCTGTTAGGAACAACATTCAAATACCAAAATATTTTTAATTAATTGGCGTAAAATTTATTTAGTACTAAATAAATAACTTGCATCCTATTTCAATAATACACTAAACTTATTTATTTTTCGGTNGACAAATATCTGAAAAATAAATACTTCTAACATTCTTATGTCTTCAGGTTAATGGAACTGTATTATGTTAGACGAGGCATCCATCTGTCATTTACTCATTAACATACAGGGTTAAATAATTTGGCATTAATTATTGGACGTCAGAAGGAAAAAGAAAACCGATTCTTCGAAAACAAATTATTGTAAATAACTTTTATACTTTTTAGTTTTAATGTAAAACGTAATGTGAGGGCCGAGGGGAGGAAAGAAATTTCAGAAAATCGATGAACGATAATATGTGATATATATCGTCATCGTCTCCCTTGCCGTTTAAATTGCCGAGCGGTAACAATCAACGACATGTGGAAGCAGTTGAGTCAGAGATAGATGCTTCGTCTACAAACAACACAACCGTTTATTAAACATGAAAGAAGCTTACAAGTTGTCCGCGATCTTGAAAGTTCTGCGGCGGTTGCAGCCTTTGGGTCTTCCTCTCGTTTACACGATAGCCCCATTTTGAAGGAGTGTCCTTGGTTCGTGAAGGACCCATTTCATCGACGTCTCGATGACTCCAAACGATGCTGTCGACCTCCGTTGACGGAAAGATGTCGATCGGAGGTCGGGAGATGGAGACGAAGATGGGTGCGAGACAAAACACACTACAATAGATTTATCATTTGGAACTTTCGGGAGAAAAAGCCGTCGCGTTTTTGGATTCCCGGGGTTTTATCTGTTTTTTTCTCAGATTCTCCATTCCGATTGGTCTTTCCTCGTCACCTGATGACAATTCGAAACCTTTCGGGGGCGCGGGAAAGGTCAAAATCGAAGTTTAATTCGATCTCCAATCGGAAATGGTCGACGGACTTACATTGTTCTATTGTTTAAAAGATTCGCGTGGCGTTTTCATATAAAAAATGTATTTCTAACTACTATATATTTTTTTCTAAATCAATTATTTTAATGCAAATTTTAGTGAGGGTTCAGACCTGTCCAGAGCCTCACAGTAATATCTTTAATTTTATATAACTGTTGTCTTTATTTTTACGTATAATTGTTAATTTTGGGGGATAGATAGCAATCGTCCTTATGGACTTTCCTACACATTTGTAAAAATAAATAAATAACGTAATGTGCATAAATGTTTGTTAATTACAAAATCGTTCTTTTAACTCGTTTAATTCGTTTTTTAATAAATATTATTTGAATATTGTTGAATTAATAGAAAAAAATGGTGATTTTAATGGAGGAAACTATAAAAATTTTTATTTTACCGACTATTAATCTCTTATTTTGTCGACCAGTTGACGGTCTCCTGTTGATGTCGTATATTTTTCTTTCTAACTGACGTTCTAGATAATATTTTCGATGTATTCTTTAATTTCTGGCTTGTTACACTAAGGTATTATAAAATATTTTAAACAGTTATATGTTTTACGCTTTATATAGCTGGATAAACGAAAACTATTACATCTCACTTTCCTCCTACCAAAAAGCTTTCTTACTTCCTTTATTCTACTTTAACACTTTTATATATTTGAGAATGTGTACTTAACTTTATATTTTGTGGTGTAAATGTAAAATAACCAAATATCGTCTTTGATAAATTTAACGACACACAGCATAAAGACATGAATTTTATTGATTAGAAGAATAAAACACGAATACTAACGATTTGTGCTTTAATACGTTTTAATTTTAACAAATAATTTTAACAATAATTTTAACAAATAGGCCTAAATAATTAAAGCATAAAAACTCTTTTACACAAAACATCACAAGTACATAATTTTAAATATTTTTAAAATTAATTTTCTTAAATTTAAACAACACACAGATCAACTCCATTGTTTTAGAATTAATGTAAGATTTAAAGAATAAGCCAAGCACCGGTTACGCTTTTATGGTTATAACAATCGATATAAATCTAGAGAAAATCTGCCGACAAACTTTTAAAATCATTCGATCGTTGCCAAAATGAATTGCAGATTGACTTCAGAATTCTCCTGTAATGAAATTCTTGTTGGAAAGATAAAATATGTTTTATAAACACGATTTCGTCGGTGGTTTTTCAAATGATATCTTTTTTTCATGCACCAAGCAATTTTCTAATAAATTCTTATTTAACAGCGTAACTGATTCAACACATTTCTTCCAACAGATTTACTTCATAAACAGAAATTTTTAGAATATTCAAGGAGAAAAGATAATAAAGAAGAAGAAAATTGGCATTCTCTGAAGTTTTTCCTGAAAGAATATTAACAATATCGATATTTTTTTAAAAACATTATTGTTTTTAATTAAAATATAACGATTTGTTGATATTTTAAATTTATTTGATATCCATTTCTCTGTAAATAATAAACACATTTTGATTACATCCAAAGAATTGCTCTGCATCCGATGTACAAACTAACGGCCTATGCTCGGCCAAAATTTACCATAGATCCACCGATCTGTGTTTCCCAAAATAAAGTACCGCGGACTCCTGAGATCTTAAATTAGTTTCGAAGGATTGCCCTAGTGTTCTCAACGTTGGTTTATTTTATAAGTTTTTTTTAAATCACTATTTGTGTTATATCAAAATATAATGTAAACATTTTGAATTACTTTAGAAAACTAGTTTACGTGCTTAGTTATAGACACACAGTCACATTCATATACTTATTATATGTATAGTGGTATGCAGACGTCACTTGATTTTGATGTCTGCATACCACTATACATCCCGAAGAATCCCGAGCGCAGCTATAGATGCTGTGTATTTAACTTTTATGTAGCACAATCCGCGATATTATAATTTTTCGAACGTATGTATTATTACTATTCTAAATAAAAGAAAACCCTAACACAGGCAGATAATCGGGTGCATAAGTTATACAGTAGAAAACTCTTACAGCTTAGCAATAATCGTACTATGGTATTAGTTGTAATTTTAATAAAAAATTTTCTATTATTAATACAGTAATGCCTATTTAAGAACAATAACTACTGGAAATTTCTGCTTTGACAACTTTTGTTAGTTACTAAATTAACTAAACTATACTGTGGGCGTAACAGGAGTGTTATATCGCCATAGCTATCGTAAATTGCACTTAATTATTCAAAGTAAAGCTGTTTTTGCATCGAGTTACGCGGCATTAATCGACGTTTTAAAATACAGATAAACATCGGCCTGCCGATTGCGTCGAATTCCGAAAGATACCGCTAATTGCTAGGGCAAATAGATACAAAACATAAAAAGTAAATGGTTAATGAAACGAATATTAACACCCTTTTTTGCGTAATCTAAATGGCATTAGTGTGAGTATGACTGATAGCTGTAGAAAGCTGAAGCATTTCTCTAAGTGTAATTTTGCTTTCATTTTTTACTCTAAAACTCTAACAATATTTTGTAAAAGAATTAACCTTTAGGTCAGTGTTTATGACAAGGCGTCGCAGCATTAGACTCTGTTGGAATTGTTCACTGGTAGAATGAGGTTGTGTGAATTTAAATTGAGCGGCATTTTTTTAACCTTTACCTGTTTAAGAAGTGATTGAAATAAACGTGCTAAATCGATCAACCTTTATCAACGAGACGTGAAGAATTAAAATTCACACAATACTTTACATACCTTCTTAAATATCGACCACTCTACTTTTTTGTTTTCAAACATGGACACACCACAGACGAAAACTTGCGAAGAAAATGCCAAAAATGTCCACGCAGTTTGTAGTTTTTTGCAAACAGTATAAAGATTAATTTAAAAAATTTCAAATATAAAATTTAACAATTATTTCGATTAGAAAAAAAATTTCATATAATTGAATATTTAATCACGTAAACGAGTATAAAATTTGGTATTAAAAGACAGAAATTGTCATTTCTAAGAAAATTAAGTGACTTTAGTAATTTCCATTTAGTATTTACATTTTTACAATCTGAATATATAAATTATTTTAAAACTGCAAACATTTAAGTATTTAACAATTTCATACATAAGAAAAAAGTCGAAATAAAATTAAAAGTATATATTTAGCAAATGAGAAAATAGTTATATTCGTCTAAACTAATAAAATTTTAAAAATATTTCCTCACTTTTCTTTCGTATTCTTCGATCGTTTTTGTGTCGATAAAGATGTATCATTTTCATTTTTGATATTTTCGCATTCAGTTGTCTTGAAACTCCTGCTTCTGTTTCTGTTTATCATCGTACACTAAAACAAAAAATTAAGACTTTGTTATTTCTTAAATTTAATTATAATAACATTATTATATTATAATTCCTAATTATGCTTCTGGCAATAATATAAAAATGCCATTTTCTGCTTTGTGCGAGTCAAATAAGACTGTCAAGACTTTAGGATTATCAGAAAAGAAGAAAGCACGCCATTATGTTATTCTTAAGTGTCTGAATAAGAATTACAGTACATGAAACTTCCATCCGTAGTAAATATTCATTAAAAATAAACTGTATTTTTTTTAAATATTAAATAGGCATTGTCGAAAACCACAGGCTAATTCAGTGAATTGCATCTTTTGTTGTTGTCCGCATAAGTGATACGAACATCGACATAATATTGTTTTGAGACAATTGAAATATTACTAAAACGATACTCGAATTATTCTTTCACGTCACCATGCTACAAATGCTTATTTTACATTTATGTTATATGTGTAGTTACTGTACATTTAATACACAAAATTCGGTCAAAAATATTCTTAGTGTAGTGAAATTATATAAAATATGAATATTCAGTTCATACGAAATAATTTTGTTAAATGTATATTAATTGCGTATTGAATTTTTTGATGCAGCATTTT